GACAACCAATGCCTACTGCGATTCTATATACTCTTAGCTTGATTCAGTGAAATGTTGATAAATTTTACTCGAAAAATGCCTTAATGGCAGCGTTTTTAATGAGTCTGAATGTTTTCGTGTTTAACCTTTAGCACATCAAATGGCACTACTGTTACTAGTTCTGGAGACCAAAATCATAAAATAATATTGTAACACATCCAAACACATACAAATTATACGTATGAATCGATTCTAAGAATATTTTATCCACTATTCGTGGCCTGTAGCTTATACTGAACAGTTCAGATACAGGTTTCGATAGGGTGAAACAAAAGACCACGAAATCCGGGAGTTTTAAATTACCGAAAAAATAAACTGGAAAGCCCACGAAATTTGATGATCAATCGGGATAAAATATACGTCGTTTTCTCCGGTATTAAATGAGATTCTGGCCCTAGGAAAATGGGTGTTATGAGTTCCATTGATTGTATGAAGAGCTCCTGGTGAATTTTAAGCTGAGTCCAGAAATGAATATTTCAATTGTTCTAAGGAAACCCCCATGACGATTGTGAGGTAAATTCCAGGACCACTTCTAACGATGTATTTCGATAATTTCAGAGTGGAATTTCAAGAGAGTACTGCTAAGGTTTTTAAGAAATTTCAAAGCTTAAGTTCAAGGTTGTTGAATTCTACTGAATGTTTCAATATAGTTCTGAGAACGCTTCCATTGGTATTTTGAAAATAGTCCAAAATGAAGTCCACAGACAAGGCAAGACAATTGCAAAAATAATTCTAATAGGGATTCGAATATTGACGGTAAATTTCTCATGAAATTCTGATAAAAGTTTCACGAGAATTACCAAGAAATTCTGAGATGAGTTTCTAAAGAATTCTGTGGAGAATTATTAGCCAACTATCAGAATAATTCAGAGAAGAACTCCTAGATAGTTCTTAACAGTACTTCAAGACGAGATTTCAAGCTAATATTAAAAATAATTATGGATTTATGGTATTTCAAGAAATAATTTGGCAGAACTCCAAGAATTGTTTGGAGTGTTATGCACAGAATGTTTAGGCTTTTATAATTAATATTTAAAGTGATATCAGATGAAATTTCAATTTAACATTAAATTCACAGAAACAAATTCAAGACCCAGGACTGCTTTGGCTAAATCGCAATTGACTTTTATGCTCACTTTAACCCGTAAAGTACCAGGACGAGAAATTTTGTTTTCAAAATGCTCGTTCTCAGCAATGTTACTACCGATTTTCTTAAAGCTGGACCTTTATTTAAGGGGAATAGTGAATCTAGCTTTTGAAGTAGGTTACGCCCCGGTAGACCCCTCCATACTTGTGAGAGAAGCAAATATGTATGTGTTTTTTTTTATTCAGCATGATTATTCTGCCTCGAATTACTATGAACTCCCGGAACTGATACCAATGTGGTTATACATGTCAAAAGAATCACCTCGAATAGTCTGCATTTCCATAACGCATTCGTGCTTGCATGATTTATCTTGCTGTATTGTTATTTTGCGTCGGAGCGTAACCTTCTTCAAAAGTTAGATCCACTATTCCCCTTCAATTGAAAAGTCCAGGTTTATGAAAATCGGTTGTAACATTGCTGAGAACGACCATTTTGAAGACAAAATTCTCGTCCTGGTACTCTACGGGTTAAATGTGTATCGCACAACTGGAAAAAATGGCCAATATTCCGGAACCACGGTGACAAGCAAATGTCGGTTAGCAGTTTACTCGTTTTAAAATTCAGGGAATCGACAATCTACGTTTGCCGATGACCATGGTTCAGGTGGCTAAAATCAATTTTCTCATGGTCCTAATCAGATTCATATTGGGCATTCCTCAGCAGATGATGAATCGATCAGAGTCGACCTTCTCCGATTTGCGTGCAAATTTGCATAGTTGTTTGTTATGAACAATCATTCACATTTTTGCTAAAATTCGGCCATTTTAGATCTTATAAAATGTTCTGACGTTTCAGTCTTTGGACTTGCAACGCTTCAGAGGATGTAAAGTTGTACCATCTGTCGTTCAGCTCAAATATCTTTACGATCTTAAACTAAAACTAGTCTTTCTATATAAGAAAACTAACTGACTCTATGTAGCACAGAACTAAACCTCTGGACTGTACTACTATAACTACAACTGTAAGACTGGAAAGCCAAAACAAAATGATTAATTCTTCTAGATTTATCAACCGCCCCAAAAATTTTGCATTTTCTGAAGTTTTAGGAGCTTCTCTGATGTGATTCGATCTGCCCTTAGGTTCTCTGAACTTCAGTTATAGTCTCTAGACTTCCATGAATTTCTCAGAACTTTTTAAAGGTCCCGGAATTTTCCTGAACATAATTGAACTGCCCTATAGTTCGTTGATCTATCCTGAAGCTCCCACAATGTTTCTGATATTTGCAATACTACTTTGAATCTTATGGAACTGTTTTCAAAATGACGATACTTTCCTGAACTTCCTTAAATTTTAAAGAAGTCCTCGAATTTTCACTATGAATTCTATTTTTTTCAAGGAACTGCTCTAACGTTCCAACAATTCCTGATATTCATCCCTTACATTCCTGAAGACTCGTCTAATGTACAGAAATTCAGAATACAGAACATTTCTGAAATTCTTGGAATATTCCATTATTCCTCTGAACTTCTTGAATGTTCCTGCTTCAATGAATGGAACTGCTCTGAAGTTCTGTGATTTTCCTTAAAATTATCTGATCTTCTCTGAAGATCTCGGAACTTTGCTGACGTTTTTTTCAATTCCCTGAGTTTCATTGAACTTCTGTAAAGTTGCTGTAATTTCCTTAAAGTTAACTGAACGGCTCTGAGGTTCCCTGATGTTCTCGCAATTCTCATAAAGTTATTGGTACTGCCCTGAAATTAATGGATCACATCTTCAGACTTCCCTAAAAATATCTAAAGTTCTGAGAAGCTCCTAAAATAAGTTTAAATTTTTCAAACTAGTTCATGATGCCTTTGGACTTCTGAAAATTTTGCTGGCTTACATGGTGCTGTCCTGAACATATCGAATCAAGCCATCACAGATCTTTAAACATGCCTGAAGGTCTGGACGTTCCTGAAGTTATTGTGACGGTCCTTAAGATCTCTGCGCTGCCCTGCTAATTTCTTCTAGGTCCAGGCACAGACAAACAGACATAACTCTTGCAAGTTGTTCATCGAACAAGCATATAACGGTCAATTTAAAAGTATCGCAGTTGGTAGTACCGCCACCTGTGGCGCGCATAATCAATTCCCTTGCATTTGACGTTTACACATTACCGCCATCTGTTCAGCGTACTACCCACCACACTGTACTCAACAGATGGCGGTAATGTTTTAGTGACGATGTTTTACAGTGAGAGATATTCAATGAGTTATGCCTGTTTATCTGTGGTCTAGGTATCTTCCCTGAGGCTCTTGGAACTTCTCTGAAGTTTTCTCATGCCTTCTGAACTTCTCTGGAATTTTCTTGATTTACCTTAAGTTCTATGAATATCCCTGAATTCCCAGAATTTTTAGAAGTTCCTTGAAGCAGATAGAACTGCCTAGAAGTTCTCGAGACATCCCTGAAGTGTCCTAGATTTTACAGATGTTTTCTTACTATTCCGCAGTCTGTTCATGAAACTGCTTCGAAATACTCTTAATTCCTTTAAGTTCCTACATTTTTATTGAGTACCGTGAAGTTTACTTATTTTTGCTGGAGCTATCGCTGATGATGATCCTGGAATATCACTGAAATTAATAAAATTGCCTAAGCTTTCCGACGTTTCCAGAAGAACCTGTATTTTTTTTTCTTGCCCTCTGAACTTCCCTGATGTTCTTTAAGTTATCGTTAATGTTTGGAACTTTTTCCAGGATCTCGGCATTCCCTGGATTTAATGGAACTGCCCTAAAGTAATCGAAATTTACCAGCAGATCTCGGAACATCCCTGAAGTTCATATGATTTACCTGATAATCATGAAGCTTTCCTGTATCCTAAGATCTGCCCGAAGCTACGTAGGTTCTCATAAGATGTTAAAACTAAACTGAAGATTTTATAGTTTCAGTAAAGTTCTTGTGATTTTCTTGAAGTTAATGGAACTGCACTGAAGCTCTTTGATCTTTAAATTGAAATCTATGGGAACCACTCTGTATTGTTTGTGGAGACGCCCTTCCGGGAACCCCTACACCAAACTCTGTAATTTGGGGAGTTCCCTTCTGGAACTCCCAGCCTTTTTTAACTAGGGAAACCTCTTTCTGGGGTTTTCAGAGACGAACCAGCCCACAGCTGAAAGTCTCTATAACAATGGAAAAAAGAGAAATCTATGGAATTGCCCTTACGCTCTCTAAACTGGCACTAAAGATCTTAAACCTTCCATGTTGTTCTGGACGTTTTTGAAGTTTTCGTAACATACTTTAAGTTCTTGGATTTTAAATGAAATTCTCAGAACTTCCTGATGGTACGCGGAATTTTCCTGAAACCAACATACAAATTTCAAAATTGCTCAACTTCTTTGAAGTTTTCTGGCCTTTGTTTTTGGAAAATTTGTACCCGAGCCCAACCCCCCATACAGACATAGCCCAAATGAGAAATTTCACGCCAAACGACGAATCGGATTAACTCGACCTTTTCCGATTTGCATAAAACTTTGCATAACTGTTTGTTATGGGCAATCATTCACAATTTTACAGAAATTCGGCTATGTAATTTTTTTTCAACTATGTATGGGATCAAAAATTCTACGTTCCTACATTGATTTATTGTAAAACATTGTCGTCTACATCCTGTGAATTTCTCCAGCCTGGAGTTATGCGGCACTCAACAACACAATGAATCCGATATTGCACTAAAATCCTCTTTCATTCCTTAAAATTTTCTTCATCCGACTTGACGAGATATTACTAAATTACAGAGTAATTTACTTAACTTGAACATCATTTCATGAGCTGCACTACTCTGAGTGGACAAACCTCCTGACATTTTCTTCAACTCTTTCCCTTCCCCTCCCTCTTGCAGAAACGCGGCAGCGACATCCTCGGCATTGCCGACGTCAGCGACGAAGATGGGCTCCCGTACACCACCCTCAGCTACGCCAACGGTGCAGGCTACTACCGGACCTACAAGGACGCCAACCACGCCGAACGAGAGGACATCAGCGGGTACAATTATGAAGACTACAATACTCAGTACCTGGCGACGGTTCCGCTGAGCTCGGAAGCCCACGGTGGAGAAGATGTGGCCGTCTTTGCCAGCGGCCCGTTGGCGCACGTCTTCCGGGGGAACATCGAGCAGAACGTTCTGCCGGATTTGATTTCCTACGCGGCCAAGATCGGTCAGTACCTGGAGAACGGCGGTGAAGGGGACGGTGGGGACGATGGAGACGGTGACGGTTCCGGATCTTCGCTGATGGTGTGCATTCAGTTGACGGTTGTTTGCGCGGTTGCAGCCCTGTTCGCTCAGCTCAAGTGGTAGTGTCCTGCGCGGTTGGGGGGGGGTTAAAATATAAGATCCTAGATTATTGTAAAAATGTGTTTTGCTGTGCAAAGTGATTGTCGAATTCCTGAGACAGATATGAATAAAAAGGAGCAAGTGATATTTGTTTGTTTTCTTTTGGGTTTTGAACCGTTATCTTAAGACACGGGGTCAAAGTCGTTCCGTCTGGAATCGATAACTTTTATGGTGAGATTAGCGAGCAGGGCAAAACCGATTAATAGCATGGTTTTGCAACCAGTAGCATTTGGTCTTAGCAAGAGGCGACATGGGGCTCAAGGTGTTGACTTTCCTTTGCGTTGTAGCGATTGTGACGGCACAGGTGCTTGTTGAAAAACGTGATCCAGCTCCTGAGAAGGATCACTATCACAGCCGGAATCATCTGCAGCGAAAATTGGAGAAAAATGCCTTCACCGAAGAGGAGACTCACTCCAAGTATTGGAACGACGGAGCTCAGGAGACTCTAAAGTTGAAACTTTCTCATAAATTGTCTACTAAGAAAGCTAAGAACATCATATTCTTCATCGGCGATGGAATGTCACCGCAGACTGTGGCAGCCACTCGAATGTACCTCGGTAACGAAAATGGATTCCTTTCGTTTGAAAAATTCCCGCATCTCGGACAGGTGAAGACTTACTGTGTGAACCGGCAAGTGGCCGATTCGGCTTGCACGGGAACGGCATACTTCTCCGGAGTCAAGATCAGCTACGGCATGCTGAACGTGGTGCCGTCGATTCCCCGATATACCTGTGATTACGAAAGGAACAACATTACCGAAATCGACGGACTGATGAAATGGGCTCAAGATGCCGGAAAGGCTACGGGAATTGTTACGAATACTCGTATTACGCATGCTTCACCAGCGGCAAGCTATGCAAAGAGTGCGACTCGTGGATGGGAGACTGATACGGAAGTAGTAGCTGATAAGTGCGATCCGGAGAAAACGATCGATATTGCTAGACAATTGATGTACAATGAAGTACCGAAGAACTTCAAAGTGGTGCTGGGCGGTGGACGAAGAAACTTCCTCCCAAATGATGTGACCGACGAGGAGGGATCGAAGGGGTACAGAACGGATGGAAAGAACCTGATCCAAGAGTGGTCAGAAGTCCACGACGACATGGGAGCTTCTTCGTATGTGTGGAACCGAACTGGATTGCTTACGGTGGACGTGGAGAACACCGACTATCTGCTTGGACTGTTCGAAGCCAGTCACATGAAGTACAATTTGGAAGTTCAGCAGCAGAATGCTCCGAGCATGGAACCAACCCTTTTGGAGATGACTGAGGTTGCAATTAAGATGCTTCAGAAGAGCGCCGAAGGGTATGTACTGTTCGTGGAGGGCGGGTTGATCGATTTGGCGCATCACGACACCAGAGCTCGCATTGCTTTGGACGAGACGGCAGAGTTTTCTATGGCAATTGAACGCGCACGGAAGCTCACTAGCGATGAAGATACTTTGATTGTGGTCAGCTCGGATCATAGTCACACTATGACCTACAATGGGTACACGGTGAGTCAGTTTTTGAACAAAATCGAAAACCCCTTATCAAATATTTTACTCATAGAAACGAGGACAGGACATCCTTGGCATCGCGGACATCAGTTATCGTGACGGCCTTCCATACACCACTTTGAGTTATGCCAATGGTCCCGGCTATTCCGACACCTACAAGTCGGATAACCTAGCGGAACGGGTTGACATTTCCGGATACGATTTCACCGGAATGAATCAACGCTACCTGGCGACGGCACCGTTAAGTTCGGAAACTCATGGTGCTGAAGACGTCAATGTCTACACATCAGGACCCCTGTCGCACATCTTCGTCGGAAACTACGAACAGAGTACGTTGCCGCACCTGATGGCCTATGCCGCCGGGATTGGGGAGTACTTCGTAGAGAAACCATCGGGTGACGATGGCGATGATAACGGTGCTGCAACGTCCACCACCGTATCCCTACTATTGCTGCTGTCTGTCGTAGTGGCAGCGATGGTTCGATTTTAGATAAGACTCGTTAGTACATTGTACCATGTGATAGTAGTCAAAGTGTTCAATAAAAAATTTAAATAGGATTTATTGATCAGTGCTACCAAAGGTGGATTTGTTATCAGCGGGGCAATGAACGGTCCAAAGCTAACCACTCTCGAAAAGTGATAATTAATTGAAGTGCTTTATCACTTGTCATTATTGTCGCTTTATTTCGGACAGCGAACACATGTACTGGGGTTTATGGCGAAAACGAACATCCATCTGAGCCTGTGGACTTGATTTCGTTCTATTTACGTGGGTGGATTGCGCAAGATGACAAATGGTGCCAGTGTTGGTTGATGAAGTGAGAATTATGGTGGGTTGATTTATCATCGAATATTGTGAGGACAACTTAATCGCAAACGTTAGATAACGTGGAGGGTGCCTAATTTACGACCTTAAAAACTTCTGGAATGCTTCTGTAGTGATGGTTTGTTTACAGCCAATGATTTATGGTTTGCGGAAGGGGCGATTTAGTCGGTAATGGTAATGGGTGTTTTACTTTTCCGAGAAAGGTTGTAAGCAATTTGTTTTGATGACGGAGCAATGAAGCATGACGCAAGTGGGGGATTTTCTGAGTTAGTTTAAGAAGTTGTTTTGAAGCTGAAGTATTCGGATCTTGTGAATTTGTTTGATAGTTTATTTAAAACGGTTTCATTTGCTTGGAGCAGTTTGGCTCTGCCTATTCTGATGATGTCTCAACACTCTTAGTTTATAAAATTAGAACAGAAAATTTGCCAATTGTTGCACACTTCATATTATTTACTGTGCAGCATTTATCCATGATCATGATGTTTATCATTGATCCATTAAATCAGTCGGCAAAATTTAAACTGTTTATGTACCCTTGGACCAAATGCAATGAATTTAATATATTTTTTTCCTCGCTGAATTCAAAAACAGTCAATATTCTTATAGTACGGATTCGTTTTTGCCGGATTCCAATAGTAAAGGGTGATACGGTCAAAATTTGGTCAAGGGAAAACGCGTGTAAATCGGTGAAATCGTTTATTTAAAAAATCAAATTAAATTTCTTTTTCAAGTTCAATTAGTATAAAATTCAGGAAAAATATTCAGTTAGGCTTCCGCTTTTCCAAATCCGAATTGCCGGGCCTTAAGCTTGACCCCTGCCATCAGATTTTGTACAGCCACCTTGTCCACCTTCTTCGCCGCAGAAAGCCAGTTTGCCTTGAACTGCTGCTCGCCCTTAGCAGTTTTTTTGGTCTTCTTTAGGTTCCGCTTGACAATAGCCCAGTATTTCTCAATTGGGCGGAGCTCTGGCGTGTTGGGAGGGTTCTTGTCCTTGGGAACCACCTGCACGTTGTTGGCGGCGTACCACTCCATGGCCTTTTTACCGTAATGGCAAGATGCCAAATCCGGCCAAAACAGTACGGAACAACCGTGTTTCTTCAGGAAAGGCAGCAGACGTTTATTCAAACACTCTTTCACGTAAATTTCTTGGTTGACAGTCCCGGAAGCTATGAAAATGCTGCTTTTCAAGCCACAGGTACAGATGGCTTGCCAAATCAGATATTTCTTTGCGAACTTTGACAGTTTCATGTGCTTGAAAACATCTGCTACCTTTCCCCTTCCTTTTGCCGTATAAAACTCCTGTCCCGGAAGCTGCTTGTAGTGGGCTTTGACGTAGGTTTCGTCGTCCATTACCACGCAGTCAAACTTCGTCAGCATCGTCGTGTACAGCCTCCGGGATCGCGCTTTGGCCGTCGTATTTTGTTTATCATCGCAATTTGGAGTCACTACCTTCTTGTAAGTCGATAGTCCGGCTCGTTTTTTGGCTCGATGCACGGTTGTAGACGATACACCCAGCTTATTTGCGGCATCTCGGAGAGAGAGGTTAGGGTTTCGCTTGAAACTACCGGCAACTCTCTTTGTCGTCTCAGCGGCTTCCGGTTTTCGATTTCCCCCCGATCCAGACTTCCTGGCTGTCGACAAACGTTCCCCAAACACTTTAATTACATTTGTAACGGTTGATTTGGCAACTTTTAGCGATTTTGCCAACTTTGCGTGCGAGTAGCTCGGATTTTCGCGATGCGCGAGCAAAATTTTGATACGCTGCTCTTCTTACTTGGACGGCATTTTGACAACTGAAGAGTGAATTCCAAAATCAAAATAGGAGCAACATTCTTCACACACACACCTTCAAAATGAGGGGTGTTCAGGTTTTTTAAATGCAAAATTGAAAGAAATACGTCAAGTTGATATTGACCAAATTTTGACCGTATCACCCTTTATCATTTACTGTGCAGCATTTATGACGTTTATCAATCATGGTGGCATGTTAAGCATTGATCAATTAAATTAGTCGGCAAAAGTTAAACTGTTTATGTACCATTGGACCAAATGCAATGAATTTAATATTTTTTTCCTCGCTGAATCCAAAAACAGTCAAAATTCTTATAGTACGGATTCGTTCTTGCCGGATTCCTATAGTACGGTCGATCCAGCATTAACGAATACACGTACCATATGGGATACGGCAATTTTAAGAGATAACTTGCTATTGTCTTTCGAGAGGTTGTTAAGCAGATAGTTAACCACCTTTTGGAAACAGTCATCCATAAAAGTGGTTAATTTCGTGGAAATGATCCTAGAGCGCAGTGCGCAAAACATTCAGGTTCAATGAGTCATTTTCATATGAATATGAGCAGAGCAGCCATCCCCCTCATCATTCACTGCTGCGTGAGAATCTGAATGACTTGGAAGTAAACGAGTCACTGACAGCACGTTTGTTTCTTCCGCAATAGTACCCAATCCTTGTTCTGAACGACTGAGCCTATGTAAAAATGTATGTAAATTACATGCTGTGTGAGTAGGGTTACCATATCAAAAACTTGAAAAGGAGGACATTTCATTTGAGGTTTGGAGATTAAGGAGGACAATGATTCCTTTTCTTAACATTAAAGTTTAACATTGAGTTTTTATCAAACGTTTTAATAATATCACAAAATTCATGATTTGCAAAGGTTCAATTGAGATTGTCATAACTTATAGTCGTTACCAATTCAATTCATCTTCTCGTTATAATTCTGAAAAAGCATAATTCATTTTTGATACTTGGAAATGATCTAGTCTAGCTGATTTGCATGAAAACTACAGCTTTACAGCCTTGAAACCATCCCAACTTTTATCATGTACATACATTAAGATACATGTCATCGTTGATTGAAAACCAACATGGAACATCTAAGCAACTTGTTAATTTTACCACTGATTTAACATAGGATCCCGAGACCGCTGCTATAGTGGGAGCAAAGAGGCGTCCTTAGCGTTCTATACAAAAGATTTTCTATTATTTATATTATTCCTTACATTTGATTTCACGCTTCCTCTTCGCTCTCAGGCTACGTTTTATTTGGAAAATTTTCACTTAGATTTGACACTTCGAAAATAAATGAGATGTTCGAAAATCCCTCTGTTGTTGATCGCCCGATTTTCGAGAAAGCGTCTGTGAAAATTGATGCCTTGTCTGTCAGAAATAAATTTGCTAGATTGACTAGTTATTTGAAAAAATTCATCGGTCAAATTTAAGTGAAAATTTACCAAATGGAACACAGCCTCAGTAGGACAGCGTGCCTCTTCGTTCTCAGGCTGTGTTCCATTTGGTGAATTTTTACTTAAATTTGACCGATGGAAAATTTTCGAATAAACCTGCTATTAAAGCAGACTTATTTCTGACCGACAAGGAATCAATTTTGACAGACGCTTTCTCGAAAATCGGCCCATCAACAACAGAGGGATTTTCGAACATCTTAATTTATTTTCGAAGTGTCAAATCTAAGTGAAAATTTTCCAAATAGAACACAGCCTCAGTATGACAGCGGCCTAAACAAATCAAGCGTAACTATTAAAATCGAAGTATCTGCTTTTGTAAACAATCTCTTCAATCGACGATTTCGACAGTGCATAAGGGCGTAACCGTGATGATCGATTCGCTTCGTCGATTTTCTATTTTGTTAATAACTCGCTAGAATTAACGTTTCTCGGTGCGTTTGCTGTTGCTTTTGATAGCCAATACAACCTGTTACAACTCTGCATTGAACGAATTCTAGAAAATCGTTTCACTTACCTGTAGCAATGTAATAAGAAAATCGATGAAGAGAATCGATCATCGCGTATACGCCCTCACTGTCGATTTGTCTTGACTGCTAACTCAACCACGCAAACAAACACCATCATCAGGTAAGGGAAACTTTCGCCTACTAGCTGGTGGTGTTAGTTTCTGTGAGTGAACTTGCAGTTGCCACAAATCGTCGATTGAATTGATTGTTTACAACATTAGATACGTTGATTTGAATGTTTATGCTTGAAATACCTGAAATCCCATAGAACAAGAACGTCAAAATTGAGCACATGTTGGATTCAATCTGTGTGCCTGTGTTCCATTTGGTGAATTTTAATTTAATTTTGACAGATAGAAAATTTTCAAATTGTACTAAACTTTATTCTGGCAGACCAGGAATCAATTTTGGCAATCACCTCGAAAATCACACGATCAACAACAGAGAGATTTTCGAACATTATAATTAATTTTCAAAATGCAAATTTAAGTAAAAATTCAGAACAATAGAACACAGCCTAAGGCCAATCGGTGAAAACCAATGAATTTAAAATGGCTCACTTCTTGACTAGCCTATTGATCCCAAGTAAATCTGTAAGCGTACCCCATTCTAGTCTAAATTCTAGTACTACACTATGTTTGGTTTGATTCGCTATGAAAGTTTGATCGATAAAATGAGGGGTTCGTGTATTTTCATATGTTTCGAGGGGTGCATCGATTAGCTTGGGACCGAAGATAGTACCAGAGCTGAGCCAAAAAGCTGAGCACGTTTTTTCGGGACTTTCTCCCAAATGATGTGACCGACGAGGAGGGATCGAAGGGGTACAGAACGGATGGAAAGAACCTGATCCAAGAGTGGTCAGAAGTCCACGACGACATGGGAGCTTCTTCGTATGTGTGGAACCGAACTGGATTGCTTACGGTGGACGTGGAGAACACCGACTATCTGCTTGGACTGTTCGAAGCCAGTCACATGAAGTACAATTTGGAAGTTCAGCAGCAGAATGCTCCGAGCATGGAACCAACCCTTTTGGAGATGACTGAGGTTGCAATTAAGATGCTTCAGAAGAGCGCCGAAGGGTATGTACTGTTCGTGGAGGGCGGGTTGATCGATTTGGCGCATCACGACACCAGAGCTCGCATTGCTTTGGACGAGACGGCAGAGTTTTCTATGGCAATTGAACGCGCACGGAAGCTCACTAGCGATGAAGATACTTTGATTGTGGTCAGCTCGGATCATAGTCACACTATGACCTACAATGGGTACACGGTGAGTCAGTTTTTGAACAAAATCGAAAACCCCTTATCAAATATTTTACTCATAGAAACGAGGACAGGACATCCTTGGCATCGCGGACATCAGTTATCGTGACGGCCTTCCATACACCACTTTGAGTTATGCCAATGGTCCCGGCTATTCCGACACCTACAAGTCGGATAACCTAGCGGAACGGGTTGACATTTCCGGATACGATTTCACCGGAATGAATCAACGCTACCTGGCGACGGCACCGTTAAGTTCGGAAACTCATGGTGCTGAAGACGTCAATGTCTACACATCAGGACCCCTGTCGCACATCTTCGTCGGAAACTACGAACAGAGTACGTTGCCGCACCTGATGGCCTATGCCGCCGGGATTGGGGAGTACTTCGTAGAGAAACCATCGGGTGACGATGGCGATGATAACGGTGCTGCAACGTCCACCACCGTATCCCTACTATTGCTGCTGTCTGTCGTAGTGGCAGCGATGGTTCGATTTTAGATAAGACTCGTTAGTACATTGTACCATGTGATAGTAGTCAAAGTGTTCAATAAAAAATTTAAATAGGATTTATTGATCAGTGCTACCAAAGGTGGATTTGTTATCAGCGGGGCAATGAACGGTCCAAAGCTAACCACTCTCGAAAAGTGATAATTAATTGAAGTGCTTTATCACTTGTCATTATTGTCGCTTTATTTCGGACAGCGAACACATGTACTGGGGTTTATGGCGAAAACGAACATCCATCTGAGCCTGTGGACTTGATTTCGTTCTATTTACGTGGGTGGATTGCGCAAGATGACAAATGGTGCCAGTGTTGGTTGATGAAGTGAGAATTATGGTGGGTTGATTTATCATCGAATATTGTGAGGACAACTTAATCGCAAACGTTAGATAACGTGGAGGGTGCCTAATTTACGACCTTAAAAACTTCTGGAATGCTTCTGTAGTGATGGTTTGTTTACAGCCAATGATTTATGGTTTGCGGAAGGGGCGATTTAGTCGGTAATGGTAATGGGTGTTTTACTTTTCCGAGAAAGGTTGTAAGCAATTTGTTTTGATGACGGAGCAATGAAGCATGACGCAAGTGGGGGATTTTCTGAGTTAGTTTAAGAAGTTGTTTTGAAGCTGAAGTATTCGGATCTTGTGAATTTGTTTGATAGTTTATTTAAAACGGTTTCATTTGCTTGGAGCAGTTTGGCTCTGCCTATTCTGATGATGTCTCAACACTCTTAGTTTATAAAATTAGAACAGAAAATTTGCCAATTGTTGCACACTTCATATTATTTACTGTGCAGCATTTATCCATGATCATGATGTTTATCATTGATCCATTAAATCAGTCGGCAAAATTTAAACTGTTTATGTACCCTTGGACCAAATGCAATGAATTTAATATATTTTTTTCCTCGCTGAATTCAAAAACAGTCAATATTCTTATAGTACGGATTCGTTTTTGCCGGATTCCAATAGTAAAGGGTGATACGGTCAAAATTTGGTCAAGGGAAAACGCGTGTAAATCGGTGAAATCGTTTATTTAAAAAATCAAATTAAATTTCTTTTTCAAGTTCAATTAGTATAAAATTCAGGAAAAATATTCAGTTAGGCTTCCGCTTTTCCAAATCCGAATTGCCGGGCCTTAAGCTTGACCCCTGCCATCAGATTTTGTACAGCCACCTTGTCCACCTTCTTCGCCGCAGAAAGCCAGTTTGCCTTGAACTGCTGCTCGCCCTTAGCAGTTTTTTTGGTCTTCTTTAGGTTCCGCTTGACAATAGCCCAGTATTTCTCAATTGGGCGGAGCTCTGGCGTGTTGGGAGGGTTCTTGTCCTTGGGAACCACCTGCACGTTGTTGGCGGCGTACCACTCCATGGCCTTTTTACCGTAATGGCAAGATGCCAAATCCGGCCAAAACAGTACGGAACAACCGTGTTTCTTCAGGAAAGGCAGCAGACGTTTATTCAAACACTCTTTCACGTAAATTTCTTGGTTGACAGTCCCGGAAGCTATGAAAATGCTGCTTTTCAAGCCACAGGTACAGATGGCTTGCCAAATCAGATATTTCTTTGCGAACTTTGACAGTTTCATGTGCTTGAAAACATCTGCTACCTTTCCCCTTCCTTTTGCCGTATAAAACTCCTGTCCCGGAAGCTGCTTGTAGTGGGCTTTGACGTAGGTTTCGTCGTCCATTACCACGCAGTCAAACTTCGTCAGCATCGTCGTGTACAGCCTCCGGGATCGCGCTTTGGCCGTCGTATTTTGTTTATCATCGCAATTTGGAGTCACTACCTTCTTGTAAGTCGATAGTCCGGCTCGTTTTTTGGCTCGATGCACGGTTGTAGACGATACACCCAGCTTATTTGCGGCATCTCGGAGAGAGAGGTTAGGGTTTCGCTTGAAACTACCGGCAACTCTCTTTGTCGTCTCAGCGGCTTCCGGTTTTCGATTTCCCCCCGATCCAGACTTCCTGGCTGTCGACAAACGTTCCCCAAACACTTTAATTACATTTGTAACGGTTGATTTGGCAACTTTTAGCGATTTTGCCAACTTTGCGTGCGAGTAGCTCGGATTTTCGCGATGCGCGAGCAAAATTTTGATACGCTGCTCTTCTTACTTGGACGGCATTTTGACAACTGAAGAGTGAATTCCAAAATCAAAATAGGAGCAACATTCTTCACACACACACCTTCAAAATGAGGGGTGTTCAGGTTTTTTAAATGCAAAATTGAAAGAAATACGTCAAGTTGATATTGACCAAATTTTGACCGTATCACCCTTTATCATTTACTGTGCAGCATTTATGACGTTTATCAATCATGGTGGCATGTTAAGCATTGATCAATTAAATTAGTCGGCAAAAGTTAAACTGTTTATGTACCATTGGACCAAATGCAATGAATTTAATATTTTTTTCCTCGCTGAATCCAAAAACAGTCAAAATTCTTATAGTACGGATTCGTTCTTGCCGGATTCCTATAGTACGGTCGATCCAGCATTAACGAATACACGTACCATATGGGATACGGCAATTTTAAGAGATAACTTGCTATTGTCTTTCGAGAGGTTGTTAAGCAGATAGTTAACCACCTTTTGGAAACAGTCATCCATAAAAGTGGTTAATTTCGTGGAAATGATCCTAGAGCGCAGTGCGCAAAACATTCAGGTTCAATGAGTCATTTTCATATGAATATGAGCAGAGCAGCCATCCCCCTCATCATTCACTGCTGCGTGAGAATCTGAATGACTTGGAAGTAAACGAGTCACTGACAGCACGTTTGTTTCTTCCGCAATAGTACCCAATCCTTGTTCTGAACGACTGAGCCTATGTAAAAATGTATGTAAATTACATGCTGTGTGAGTAGGGTTACCATATCAAAAACTTGAAAAGGAGGACATTTCATTTGAGGTTTGGAGATTAAGGAGGACAATGATTCCTTTTCTTAACATTAAAGTTTAACATTGAGTTTTTATCAAACGTTTTAATAATATCACAAAATTCATGATTTGCAAAGGTTCAATTGAGATTGTCATAACTTATAGTCGTTACCAATTCAATTCATCTTCTCGTTATAATTCTGAAAAAGCATAATTCATTTTTGATACTTGGAAATGATCTAGTCTAGCTGATTTGCATGAAAACTACAGCTTTACAGCCTTGAAACCATCCCAACTTTTATCATGTACATACATTAAGATACATGTCATCGTTGATTGAAAACCAACATGGAACATCTAAGCAACTTGTTAATTTTACCACTGATTTAACATAGGATCCCGAGACCGCTGCTATAGTGGGAGCAAAGAGGCGTCCTTAGCGTTCTATACAAAAGATTTTCTATTATTTATATTATTCCTTACATTTGATTTCACGCTTCCTCTTCGCTCTCAGGCTACGTTTTATTTGGAAAATTTTCACTTAGATTTGACACTTCGAAAATAAATGAGATGTTCGAAAATCCCTCTGTTGTTGATCGCCCGATTTTCGAGAAAGCGTCTGTGAAAATTGATGCCTTGTCTGTCAGAAATAAATTTGCTAGATTGACTAGTTATTTGAAAAAATTCATCGGTCAAATTTAAGTGAAAATTTACCAAATGGAACACAGCCTCAGTAGGACAGCGTGCCTCTTCGTTCTCAGGCTGTGTTCCATTTGGTGAATTTTTACTTAAATTTGACCGATGGAAAATTTTCGAATAAACCTGCTATTAAAGCAGACTTATTTCTGACCGACAAGGAATCAATTTTGACAGACGCTTTCTCGAAAATCGGCCCATCAACAACAGAGGGATTTTCGAACATCTTAATTTATTTTCGAAGTGTCAAATCTAAGTGAAAATTTTCCAAATAGAACACAGCCTCAGTATGACAGCGGCCTAAACAAATCAAGCGTAACTATTAAAATCGAAGTATCTGCTTTTGTAAACAATCTCTTCAATCGACGATTTCGACAGTGCATAAGGGCGTAACCGTGATGATCGATTCGCTTCGTCGATTTTCTATTTTGTTAATAACTCGCTAGAATTAACGTTTCTCGGTGCGTTTGCTGTTGCTTTTGATAGCCAATACAACCTGTTACAACTCTGCATTGAACGAATTCTAGAAAATCGTTTCACTTACCTGTAGCAATGTAATAAGAAAATCGATGAAGAGAATCGATCATCGCGTATACGCCCTCACTGTCGATTTGTCTTGACTGCTAACTCAACCACGCAAACAAACACCATCATCAGGTAAGGGAAACTTTCGCCTACTAGCTGGTGGTGTTAGTTTCTGTGAGTGAACTTGCAGTTGCCACAAATCGTCGATTGAATTGATTGTTTACAACATTAGATACGTTGATTTGAATGTTTATGCTTGAAATACCTGAAATCCCATAGAACAAGAACGTCAAAATTGAGCACATGTTGGATTCAATCTGTGTGCCTGTGTTCCATTTGGTGAATTTTAATTTAATTTTGACAGATAGAAAATTTTCAAATTGTACTAAACTTTATTCTGGCAGACCAGGAATCAATTTTGGCAATCACCTCGAAAATCACACGATCAACAACAGAGAGATTTTCGAACATTATAATTAATTTTCAAAATGCAAATTTAAGTAAAAATTCAGAACAATAGAACACAGCCTAAGGCCAATCGGTGAAAACCAATGAATTTAAAATGGCTCACTTCTTGACTAGCCTATTGATCCCAAGTAAATCTGTAAGCGTACCCCATTCTAGTCTAAATTCTAGTACTACACTATGTTTGGTTTGATTCGCTATGAAAGTTTGATCGATAAAATGAGGGGTTCGTGTATTTTCATATGTTTCGAGGGGTGCATCGATTAGCTTGGGACCGAAGATAGTACCAGAGCTGAGCCAAAAAGCTGAGCACGTTTTTTCGGGACTTTCTGGTATTAGAGTTACCTCTATGCTAAGGCTGTGTTCCAGTGGTTTAATTTTCACTGAAACTTCGAAAATGAATTATAATGTTCGAAAATCCCTCTGTTGTTGATTGTCCAATTTTCGAGAAATTGTTTGTTATAATTGATTCCTGGTTTGTCTGAAATAAGTCTGGTAGAATAGCAGG